TTCTTTATATCTATATCTATGTTGGGGCATGTAAATAAAGTGAGTGTCATCTGCATTCTAAGAACTGTCTTATTCTCCAGTGAGACTCCTAGCTCTTTTTATTTTTATTCAAGAAGAAATGTTCCCTGTAAGCACTTCACTGCTCACGACTGCCTTGGACCCGAGGCCTCGGTGGGGTGACAGCAACGCTGGTGATTTACTATCTGTCTTGTCCTGCTTACCAGGCCCAGGGGTCACAGGCAAGACTTAAAGTCCAAATTTTAGAGTAATAAATCGCTTTTCTGCCTGCATGCCCACTCTGCAGCCCAGCCCTTGCCCCCAAGAATGCTAAGGTTGGCAGATGGTTAAAGGATTTAAGGATTTCGTGACCCGATCACTTGTTTAATCTCTTACTTCAAGCCACTTGTTTCTTTGTTCTGGAACTTATTTCTCCCCCGCCCTGCCTCTCCCCAGGCCCACCCCTTCAAGTTTCAGCTTCAACGCTGTATCTGCAAGAAACCTGCCCTGTCTAACTCTCTCTCAAGTATGGGTTAAGGAAGCTCATGGAACCTTGCGCTCTCCTAAGGTTGAGAGGGGCCCAGAATGACTGTCTGACTCGTCCCAGTCTCCCCAGCACCTATATAGGTCTGAAAACAGTAGACACTCAAAAAATAGTAGCTGAATGCGTACATGAGAGAGTATGAGCGCCCTGAATATCTGCTGGAGGGAAGGCACGGCCATGGGGGCAGAGGTGGATTGGGTACAGAGAGTGAACGTGACAAACACAGAGTGCGCCTTCTCCGTTTGTTTTCAAAGGACCAGTCTACTGAGAACAAGGAGGGTGAGGCCTGAAGCAATTGTTACCTCCAAGTGTCTAGCCTTGGGCAGCTTCATCAGACCCTCTGTGTCTCCATCCATGAAATGATACAAAGGAGCAAACTCATCACTTAAGAGCTCTGACCTGTGTGCTCCCTTCCCCAGAGAACGCACAGGAAGGCGCCCAGTGGAGGACTGGTGGAGGGAGCGAGACCTCTTGAGTGCAACCTCCCCAAAAAGCCTGGTTGTAATTTGATGGCCCTTTACTGAACCACTTGCAGTGAAGGCTTGCAGGAGACTATTTTTTTTTTAAAGAAGGCATGGGACCTGAAGTAGTAGAGGCTGAAAACTAGAAGCTATGACAAATGTTAACATAAATGCATGAAGAACAGGCAGAACAAATTCCTGAGCACCAGTGGGACATTTGTGGGTTTGCAGGTCTGGGGTTTGGAATATTCCTAATCACGTGGCTCCAGTTCACTAAGACATCGGCTTCTTTGCTCCCCCTCGCCTGTGCAACACGTGCAAACACAGCGCCTCTGTATCTCTGTTATAAATATCAAAGCTGTTGCCTTGCATTCTGATGTTGTTACTGGCCGAGATCTACAAAGCTACAAGGCCCTTGGGCAAGCAACATCATCTCTTAATGGGATGACGACTTGGGTGCTACTCACCTAAGGAAGAGATGGGCTCTTGGGGCCGTGCTGGGAGAAGCCTGCCCTCCCCTGCAGACCTCGCTTTTTCTTGGAGGAGCCAGGATGCCTTGTCCATGCTCCAGGTGGGTGGGGGCTGAGAAGCTTCCACCACAGGGAGTACACACATCAAGAGCTGCCCTTCAGCATTTAAAGGTCATGAATTTTGTATTAACAAGCATGTATCTCAAAAACACTGCATTCAGTATGTAGGGATTCTTACTGAACACTTACTATGTAAGTACTCTGAGGGTTTTACACATATGACCTCATTTAATCCTCAGAACTACCCTTTGAAGCAGACGCGGTTGTTGTGCCCCTTTTACAGATGAAGCACAGAGAAATGGAACGGCTCTCCCCAAGCCACAGCACTGTCTGCCCAGAGTCTGCGCTCTCAACCACTCTCCTGAACTGACTCGAAGAGGCTGCAGGACCATGTGCACAGCACAGTGCCTGCCAGTAACCATTAAGTGTTTTTAAGGACTGGAAAAAAAAATACTCCAAACTGATCACAATGTTGCCTTGACTGGAAAGTTTGCAGGACGGCAGGATTGTCAGAAAGGGCTATTGCTGTATCTCAAATGGTCTATATGTATGTTAAAGAACAGTGTGTCGATCTGTAATTTTGGAAACCATAATCGTGCTTGAAAAAAAGAAAGTGAATGTGTCCAAGTGCTGACAGTGGTTTATCGTGGGCGGTGGAATTATGGACATTATTTTTCCTGTGTTTTGATGCATCTTTCAGTTTGGAAAGAAGAAAGAATACCTGGTAAGAGATCCTCCTCACCCCAAAGGAGAGGATGGGGCCAGACTATCTACACTTTTAAACAACCTCAGAGGTGCTCAAATGCATAGCGACAGCTGTATTCGGCAGAGGGGTGGGGGTTCAGAGAGAGCCGATGGGCTTTGGAACTGAGACCCCGAGTCCAATCCCACCTGCACCCCATGTTGGCTGTGCAGTCGCCTCATGGAACATCGATCTCCTCATCCACAAAAGGATGGAAAAGGTATGGAGTAACACCTTGTCCACCAAGCTGAGTGAGGATTCAGTCAAGCATCATCCATGCCTGGCTTATCACCTGAGGTGGTTCCACATCCACTACAATGATATTTTCCTCATTGCCTTGGCACTTTGAATAATTACACTTCACTCTGCACTTGCTAGGCTGGTAGGAAGGGCAGAAGGCAGGCTGGACTACCCAATGTGTAGGGCAGCTGAAGTATGTACATCTGGAAAAAAATCAGTACATACTAACACCAACCCTTTCTCCAATCAGCCAGTACATCCGCCTCTGTTTTCTTCTCTGTACATGGGTATAATAACACCCCTTATTGACCAGGGCAATGGAGACTTTGGAGAATGCTTTAAAAAGTTCACCTGGGCAGTAACCACACAGTGTAATATACAGATGGTATATTATGGAATTGTGTACTTGAAACTTACGTAACTTTAGTAACCGATGTCACCCCAATAAATGTAATTTTAAAAAGTTTATCCAGAGTATATGCATGCCCAAACACACACACACACACACACTCCTTGGGTACATACACTGCACCCAGTCCAGGTAATTTAGTTACTTGTGGTTTATTTATTTAGTTGAAAACATCCTATTAATTGACTATTAGTTAATGTATTAACTGGAAATCTGGACCTCTCAAGGGGAAAATGCTACATTGTTGCAAAGGAGCATGTGACAGGCACGTTGTTTCCCTTAAGCAGTCTGCCATTCAGAAAGCACTCTGTCTCGCTTCTCCCCTTATGGCTTGCTTTCACTCAGGCAGGCATTTCCCCAGCCCTCAACCCCCTTTTTGAATAGCCAAGTTTTCTTTCTTTCAATAAACTATTTTTAGATCAATTTTAAATTTACAGGAAAATCTAAAGGACAGTACAGAAAATTTCAACATACTCTGCATCCAGTTTCCCCTACTGTTAATATCTTATATTGATGAACCAACATTAGTGCATTATCACAAACCAAAGACAATGCTGAATTTGAATTTCTTTGGTTTGCATCAAATGTCTTTTTCTGTTCTAGGATTCCATTAAGAACACCATATTACATTAATCATTATGTCCCTTGAGGCTCCTCTTGGCTAGGACAATTTCCCAGATATTCCTTGTTTTTGGCAACCTTGACAGTTTTAAGGGGTGTGGGTCCAGTATTTTGTATAATGTCCTTTAATTGGAATTTGTCAGATGTTTCTCTGATGGTTAGACTGAGGTTATGGGTCTGGGGGAGAAAAATCACAGAGAAAAAGTACCATTATGGCCTTGCCTGATATTAACCTTGATCACCTGGCTCAGCTACTGTTTGTAGGGGCCTCCACTGAAGTTACTCTTTTTTTCCTAAAGATTTTATTTATTTATTTTTAGAGAGGGAAGGGAGGGAGAAAAAGAGAGAGAGAGAAACATCAATATGCGGTTGTTGGGGGTCATGGCCTGCAATCCAGGCATGCACCCTGACTGGGAATTGAACCTGCGACATCTTGGTTCGCAGCCCAAGCTCAATCCACTGAGCTACGCCAGCCACGGTCTGAAGTTACTCTTTCTTCTCTTGTTCACATTGTTTGCTTTGGAAGTCACCCTGTTCCACCTACACTAGAGAAAAGTGGAGCTATGCTCTCCTTCTCTGAGTAGAGTATCTACTTAAATGATTCAGAATTCTTCTGATGGTAGCTTTGTGTCTTCTCCACTTGTTTATACATTCAGTCACCAGATTTAATTTTTAATATGTTTTATTGATTATGCTATTACAGCTGTCCTATTCCCCCCTTTATTCCCCTCCTCCCTGCCCCCTCCTTCCCACCCACATTCCCCCCACTTAGTTGATGCCCATGGATGGGTCCTACATATAAGTTCTTTGGCTTCTGCATTTCCTATACTATTCTTAACCTCCTCCTGTCTATTTTGTACCTACTATTTATGTTTCTTACTCCCTGTACCTTTTCCCCCGCTCTCCCTGCTCCCTCTCCCCACTGATAACCCACCAAATTTAATTTCATTAAAGAACTTGAGGTAGAAGTGAATTGCTTCAAAAATATTCCTTCTTAAATCCCAGGGCAAAAGAGTAAAACAAAGGTCAATTTCCTTTGACTATATTTAAATTTAATTCTGTTCTTAATTGAACACTTAATATATAAAAATGTGGTTCCACATATGCTACAGTGAGATGTTGCTCTGCAGAGAATATAAGATGACTGAGCCAAGGTTGAAACCAGCCTCAAGGCCAGATACAAACGTCTACATGTAAGGCAAGTAAGTGCTAATCTTAAAAGTAAAAAGTGTTTTGAGAATACTGCTAAGAAGCGATTCATTCCAGAAAAATTTGGTCAAAGGTGTCTGAGGCCAGGGCTGGTTTCCTGGGTACCGACCAGCGAGGGACCGGACTGTGAACGCAGCACCTGAAGTTCGGAGAGAACGAAAGACTCACCTGACGTCACACAGTCGGTTAGTGTAAGAGCCTAAGCCGAGCATCAAGTCTCCCGGGCAGAGACGAACGAAGCCCTTACCTCAAATAAGCGCAAGACCTTGGCCAGTGCACCAACTTTTTCTTTGAGTGAGAAAATCAGTGATACGGCGCCGCTTTGACTGGAGCTGTCTTCAATATAGCTTGTTTCCTAAAGGATTAAATACACTTGGTTAAAATGTTCTCTACGGTTTAGCAATTCATTCCGGCAAAACCTCCTGGACAGGCCATCACGAGCTGTTTCTTCTAGCAAAGCCTGGGATACCACGGGCTACACATATTCTACACAGAAGTATACAGCATGGTGGAGAGCAAGTCGGTCAAGGGCAGTGATGTGTTCAGTAACACCCCTCGGTCAGATGCTAACTTTAGGCCCATTATTCCCAGATGTCACCAGTCGCCCTATAGATTCAATACATTTCAATGGGCACCTACCAAGTGCCAGGTAATAGGGGCTCTGAGATCCACATATAAAGATGAAGGAGCTCAAAATTTGGCTTAATAGACACACAACAAACCAAATAACTGGGGGGAAAAGATCCTCAGCGGTGGTTCAAAAAGTGTCCCAGGAAAACATTGAAAAATACAGCAGGGAGAGTTCTAAAAATAGAACACACATAGGCTTTCGAGTCTGAAGACCTGGGTTGGGATCCTCTCAGATGGGCTACTCTGGGCAAATCGTTGAGTCTTTGGAGTTTCCTCATCTGTAGAATCAAGCTAACAATAAGCCTTGTCTCAACTGTATTCAGATGATGAAAAAATAAAAAATAAAAATAGTCTAAATAGACTATTAAGAGGAGTCTATAAAGATGATGGAAATATTTTAAATATACAAGAATGCCCTCTTGGCCTTTGACAAAGATCTCAGGGAAGCACTGACTTGTTTTTGTATACTGGGATCTTGGATATCTAGTTGTAGAAAAATAGTTACAAAAGTACACAAATAATCCATTGGAAGGTGGATGTCTTAAAACAAAAAAAAATATCAAGGATCTAGCACTTTCTACATGCATGTGACAGCAAATTAAGGTGGGATTAGGGTTGGCATTCCAGAAGGAGTTTGCTGAAATCTTTTGAATTTTTAAAATTCAGTTTTATAATAATATATAAAATTCCATGCATGCCCACAAATAAGTAGCATATACCTAAAAGCGGGAAGAAGAAAATGTGCAGAAATTTACTCTCTTATAAGCAAGATGAAGAAACTAGAGGCCTGGATGCTACATTATCCCACTGGGACGGCCGGTCGGGTGGGTTCTGTTCATGACTTGGCACAATAAGCCCGACATAAACACGGGTGACCCTTAGGAGGAGCTTCTTTTAATTCAGAAAATTCACATTTTCCAGAACCTCACCTAAAACAGAGGTGTGGAGAAAGAACCTAAATTATCAACTAGTGTGATTAGAGGGAGTTTCGAATGGATTAGAAGACTGAACTGTTATACACCTCTATAGGGATCAAGATGTAATCTTTCTAAGAAATGTTGAGTCCATTACTTATTAAGAGCCTGTAATGCTGCAGGCATTATCAATACTTGATTTAGATGATCTTATCTAATTTTTGTAACAATCTAGAACAGTGACTTTCACCCTGTGTGCTGCAAGCATTTCGAAAACATGCCAATACCTGACTATTTGGTCAGGGGCGCTGACCAATTTCCCCAAGACTGTCACATTAAAAAATGACAACGGCCAACACAATAGCTGTCTGGTGTAAGTCAATCAAAATTATACCTATTGTTTTGTCAAAGCTGCAAAGCAAGATATTTTTTGATTGACACAGAATTTCAGTAATTAGTTTATATGTGCCACAAGATGCAAAAGGTTAAAATTGCTGATGGAGAAGGTAGGTTTGATTAATTTTTAAGCACCTCCTTTTACTGATGACAAAATTAAGGCTACGAGAAGTTAAGTGGTTCACCTGTAGTTACAGTGTGAAGCAAGAATAAGAACCCAAGCTGTTTGATCCCAGGACACTGTCTATGAATCAGGACTTTCTGCAGACTCGACCCTGCCTTCTCCCTCTTCTAAGCCCTGCCAAAGATATGCAGATGACTTTCTGACGTCAGTCTTCTTCCTCCTACCGAGAACACTGAGCCCTTAGTCTTTCTGGTTTCCTTGAAATGACAAAGGGTTTCCCTGTTTCTAGTTCCCTTGGCAACATTCTCTTATCCTGTCGGCCTCCGAGGACAGTCCTGGGTTGGCCCAAAGGTCCGTTTAGTTTTTGCCATGAAATAAAAGACACATTTTTCATTTTCACGAATAACTTTATTGATTCGGATATGTTGGCTATCTCCTGCATGGTATAATGCTGATTGTTCTAAATTAATACCTTGATTTGATCATGATTAACTTCAGCTGGTCTATCCAACCATGACAGAAATCCCCAGCACGAAACTGCACAAACCACTTTTGACACATTCGATCAGTCCCAGCACCTTCTCCATACACCGCACAAATCCTTTTTTTACATTTTTACCTTTCCTGAAATAATAAAGCATAATACACCAAAAATGTTGCATATTTTCTTCTCTCTTCCATATTAAATGGCTGCACAAAAACCCACTAATTTTGATAAGTTTTTTTTAAAATGCATCCTTATGTGACAGCTGTCACAACACAATCTAACAAAATTGTTTCGAATGAAGTTCAAGATAACTAAGCGCTACTAGAGCCATCTTATGGGAAAAATCCAATAAACTTTTTGGCCAACTCCAAAACATAGTCCTGGTGCATCTCCACATGCGTAACCTTTCAATTCAGACATGAGTGCACCATGCTCAGAACTCCATCACCACCCACTTCCCACTCCTGTGCACGACCAGCCAGTCACCAAGTCCAATCCGACAGACGTGGCTCTCAGCATCGGATCCTTCTTTTGTTCCTACTGCCACGACACTAATCCAGCTCACCGATCCAGCCCTAGAAGAATTTTGCTCATGTCCTCCTTCAACTCAGAATTCTTCAGAGGCTCCCCATGGCCAGTAGGATCAACTACCTCCTTCTGATATGCAAGATCTCCTGAGGCCCCCAACAAGCAACGCCCCCCTCCACACCAGGGAACTGGTTTCCTCCTCGCTCTTTCAGCTCCTCATTGTGGGAAATGCACTGCACCCCTCTTTCTCTGACTCTTTCAAATCACCCGCCCTTCCTCAAAAGCCCTCTTGGGTCTCACTTCTCTCGGAAGCAGTTCCTCTTCAGTGTGTGCATTCCTTTGGCTTCTGATGTCCACATGGAACTTGATAACAATTGAGTTCATGTAGTTCAAGGCCTCATTTTTCAGATGGAGAAACTATGGGCCAAAGAAAGTGACTCACCTAGGGTCACACAGATAGAGGTCCCAGGTCAAGAACTCAGCTTCTAAATATCAGCCATTCTATGCAGCTTCCTCTGCTATTAGCATAATGTCCCTATTAAGTCCTAGGTTTCTTGCAAAGCAAAATCTTTTCTCTGGTTGCACTACTAGTTTATTCAATGCCACTCTGTGTCTGTGCTGGTGCCCTTTTACTTCCCCATTCTCCCCCATGAACTTTCTAAATCAGGGTTTCTCTGTGAGTGTTCCTTGGATCTTCATTCCAAAACTACCTGGTGATTCCTTGTTTAAATGCAGATTCCTGGGCTTCTCCCAAACCAATCAAATAAGAATATCTGGGGTAGGATCTTAGAATCTGCATTTTCAAAAGCATCCCAGAGGATACTTCACCATGGAATATTTTTAAACCACTGACAATAATACACAGCTTACTTTTTAAAATCATGACATTTCTCAAATGTGTCTGCAAATTCACATGTATGATAAGTCACCACTCTTTAGTGTTAGTAACATGAACGGTAGCACCTGCCATTGCCTGAGTGTCCACGATGTGCCGGGAGCCACACTTGGTGCTTTTCACAGTTAATAAACATCATCACTGGCAGCAGCTAGCGCTGTTCTAAGAGTTTACCTATCTTCACGGCAGCCCCATGAAGTGGGCGCTGCAGTGCTGCACATGAGGAAATGGATTCAGCAAGGTTAAGTGGACACCCTGCTCATAAGTGGCAGAGTCTGGACTTGAACTCAGGTCCAACGACTCCAAAGTCTTTATTCTGCCTCCCAGTGGCAGACTCAACTGGGACTGCATCTCCCCTTTTCAAGGACTGAGAGACTTTAAATGAAAGGAAGCTCATGGAAGTTTATGAAATGGTGTGGTCTTGGGTAGATGCTGATTTCAATTTTGCTGTGTTGACCTGGCATGGGACCTTGGGAAAATCTCTTTTAGAATGTGTTTTCATTGGCACACAATCTATTCCTTATTTATTTCCAGTAAACACGTGAGTTGACTTGGAAACACAGGTACCTCCAGGATGGGTAGAGACAAAGGAGAGTAGCTCAGAAACTAAATAAGGAGAAATAGGGCAAGGAGAAAGAACTTTACTACGAACCAGGGAAAGTTATTGTGAACATTGAGCAATACATTTAACAATAGAAACATATCGTGTCTAAGGAACACATTCATTATCTTTGGAAAAGAGCACTTTTCCAAATTACAAGTAGTAATATTCTTTAGCAAGAATATTCCAGGGGGCATTGCTTTTTAATCTTAGTGGGTTTTTTAAAACTTTTTTTATGGATGTTCCAATACAGTAACCTTAGTTTTGGGGGGACCACAGTAGGAGGCATTTATTCGCCTGCGTGGTTAAGCACACGCATAGCTACAGTGGTAAGACAACTGAAACAAGGTGCAAACATCCTGCCATAGACACACTACCCTGCATTCCAGCATTCATCTACAGGAGAAAGCAGTGAGGGAGAGGAGCACGCAGGGGTCAGAGTCCGGTCTGGTTTCAAACACTGACTTCACCACTCATAGTGTGTTTTCTGAGTTCCCCTGGTCTTCTGTTCCGTCCCCTGCTCTGTTTTTCTTCACAGCACTTATCTCTGCATGAAATTATGCGTTCATGGGGTTATTATTTTTTTTTGCCTGTCTCCTACACTAGAATGTAAGTTTCTCCAGGGCAGAAACTCTGCTGTGCCTGGCACATAGTAGGTGCTCAGTAAGTCTGTGTTGGGTGAACAGATGTGTCAACATCTCTTCCAGCATTGTGTGCTTGTTGCATGTGTAGAGCACTTGCCATACCGCATGCCTCCCAGCCTCGTGTCAGAACTGTGCCCAGTGTATGCCATCTACCTGAGCTGGGCGTTTTGCAAAGGCACTAACCGTGTCTCTTTTGCAGACTCTCAGAGCTGGAAGGGATCCTTAAGTTTATTCTAGCTCAACCCTCCAACCCCCACCAACTTTACAGATATGAAACTGAGCCTCTCCTCACCCCAATTAGGCTGCTTTCCCAACACATAGCTTAAGGAACCCCCAAAATGAGAGTCCAGGTCTTCTGACTTCATGCCCAGCATCGTGTCCACAACAAATCTGTACCAGTCACTCTGTCTGGCTCAGTGCTTGTCCCTCCAACCAATGTTCCAGATACATTTTGTTGAAAAACTAAAGTAATTGCAGCTCGACACCACTGGCATGCTCCTGTGATCCAGGAACTGTGCTGAGAGCTTTAGAGACATTCTTTCATTCAGTTCTCATACGAACACTAGGACATGGATATCTCTATTCCAGTTTTTCAAATGAATAAAGCTGAGGCTTTGTAAAGTGAAACACCCTGCTTTCCACGCACAGGCGGTACCAGGGCATGCTCTGACCCCTGCTCTTTGCCCCTAGTCATCAAGAGTGACAGTTTGTGGATCTCCGTCTGATAGAACTATACATTCTATGGCCCCCTAACCAGATGGCTGTCCCTAACTTCCCCCCATGGCTGGGGGGTCCTGTGTCCAGCAATACAGACACCAGATGGAGACCAAGTCAGGATCTGTCCTGGGATCTGTCTGACCCCCACACTGTCCCTCTTCAATCGCAAGTTCTCCTGTCTCCCAAGCATCACGTGCCATTCTCAAAGGAAGACTTCTTCTGAGGACTCAAAAAAGTCAGTGCAAAGTTCTGCAGTTTCTCTAGTTATACTAAAATATCAAGCACCCGCCCTCTCCAGTCTTCCCATTCTCTAGTTGGTTCTCACTAAACCTACAGACGACAGGTGCCCACAGAGGGGCATCATCTCCCTGAGCGGGGCTTTACTTGAGAACCGCAGAATCCAGGGGCGTCATAAGTTGAAAAAGGTATTCTGCAATTGTTCACCTCAAAAGAGATGCAACACATCCCAGACAATGGGACACACCCTGGGCATTATCCCCAAGTCACATTTAGGGGTCTCTCGCATTCCAAGTCCACGGCTAACTCTTGTTCATTTTCCTTTCTGTTTATTTTCTCCTTCCCCAGGGCTGAGTAAGCCTGAGACTTTTTGATGCCTCATTTTCTGCCAAAGGTAACAAGAGAATGCAATTTTTCAGTGTTGTCATTTCGACACATGGCCGAAAGCATTTTATAAACATCACAGGAAAGCAGATAAAGGAGGATTTCATTTCCCACCCCAGATGGTTAAGGAACAGCCCCTTCAATGTACAGAAGGGAAGGCAGGCAACACAGAGGAAGAGATGACCTGTCCAGAGACACAAGCTAGTTAGTGGCAGCTCTGGAAGCCAGATCCCCAACTTGTAAAGAGATGCCCTTTCCCTGAAATCCACACAGGACAGATGTCCACCCTGGGAAACAGCTGTTGAGGACCTGGGTTAATCCGATGACTTCCTGGACAATTCCATCATCTTCAAATGGATTCAGACTTCCTGGTGTGCTAATGGAAGCAAGAAACACCGACATTCCTCGGACTTCTTTCACGGGGGCCGAACTCCCCTCCCTGCACAGCTGGCTCACCTGGCCGAAGTCGGAGAGTTTCCTGGTCAAGCCTCCTCTCTCCAGGACCACAGCAGACATGCTGGCTCCCGCGAGTGAGGTCTCTGGCTCTGGGCTGTCTGGCACAGGCAGGTTTGCCAGCAGCACGTGGTGCTGAGGTTTTTAACCTGAGGTTAGGGAGGGGAGGACGGGTTGCACAGGTGTCTGATGCCATGCACTGGCCACGGTAACGCCCCCGGTAGGCGTTGTTCTGACGCAGGGAGCTCCAGGTCACCACCCCAGGGCGCAAGGAGTCCACACTTGGCTGCCTGCCCTTGCTGGAGGAAGCAGCCCCGCCAGCCATGCACGGGGCCACCTGTGAGCTGGTGGTTAGAAAGATTGGCCTTTCCAAGACCCTCAGAAGCATGGAAGCAGATTCTCTGCATTGGAGTGCACCTGTGCCCTCCTGATAGTTACAGTTATGGGAAAGAATCCTTTCTCCGCTCCGCTCCGCCCCCCTCCCCTCCCTACCCCCTCCGTCCTCGGGAAGCAGAGCCAGGATCCCTAATTTAGATTTTTGGAGGGGCCTTTGTATTAACCACTAAGTACACTGCTTTTCTAGACTTTGACTTCAGACATACAAGATGACACTGTGAACGCTGAGCACGGCTGCTAAAGACCAAAGGTCAAAAGGCAGATCCACTTTTAGTTATGCTAAGGGAAATAGGCCAGGCAGTGAAAGACAAATACCATGTGATCTCACCTTTAACAGGAACCTAAACGACAAAACAAACCAACAAAATATAACCATAGACACTGAAATAGAGAACAGGCTGACAGTGACCAGAGGGGGGAGGGGAGGGAATTCAGGGGAAATGGGGAAGGGTTTGCAGGAACAAGTATGAAGGACACGTGGACTAGGGCGGGCGGGTGGTGGAAATGGGAGGGAGGTGGGGAGGACTGGGGGGTGGGCTGGGATGGGAGTAAACGACAGAAAACTGTGCTTGAACAACAATTAAAATAAAAATAAATACATAAAATATTTTTTAAAATAAAAATTAAAAAAAGAGAGAGCGAAGGTAGGAAAGAGAGACCTGGATTGAAATCCAGTCACGTGTCCTGGAGCTGTTTGCCTGACTGCTGGGAGCACCCGCCAGAGGACAGCAGAGCCCCCCTGCCCGGGCGTTTTTAGAATATGAACACTATGAATACTAAGGCGATGCATTAAAGGTCCACTACAGTTCTTGCTGTATGTTAAATACTGAGTAAATGGGAGCTACTGTTGAAAAGCATGTGAACAGAAGCACAAATGTGAACACAAGTATAATAAATACTATACTAATAATAATTAATATAATAATAAGTGGAAGCTACTGTTGAAAAGTATGAGGACGTGTACTGTGGGCCAGTCGGTATAGGGGATACAGCAGTGAATGAATAGAAGATCCTGCCTCCCCTGCTGCCATTCTTGGGGAGGAAGCAAAAAATAAACAAATATGTGTAGGCAGAACTAAGCTTACCAAAGAAAATGAAGAAAAGGGCAAGGGGTGAGCTGGTGAGAGTTGGAGGGTGAACCCTTTCGAGTACGCAAGAGGACGTCATCCACTCCATCTTTTTCGGGTCAGATGAGGCATTCGTTTCCAGCGGGAGCAAAACGGAAAAAAGTTAAAAGAACGCCGCACATTTGAAAGTTCTAGAAGGATGTGAAAAATCAGGGACATCAAGGCCTTGAGTGGCTGCCTAATATTTACCCAGGAGGGGTAATGGACTGACTGCAAGAAAACAAGCCAATAATAGAGGTTGCTAGACTTCCGCCCCTCCCCTCCCACAATGCTTTGACCGAATGACCAAGCATCTGCCAAAAGAACAAAAAAAAGAAAATCTCAGATGTGAGTTTCAAAGCAAATGGATTTCACCACTGATCCATTAGCCGTGTAGCTTTGGTCAGGTCCCTGCCTCCACTTCTTTGTCTTTAAAATGGGGGTTTTAAGGGTTGTGTTTTAGGATTTCTTGAGCATCTCTAATGTGCCAGGTTTTCTACAGCCTGCTAAGAATACAGACATAATTTTGTAAATGTAATTTTTGTCCTAGAGTCCTTGGGTGTGTGATTACTATTTCATATGGTAAATTGAATGTTCCTGGACTTCCACCCTCAGGAGAATCTGTATCCTTCATCTGACTCCAGTATTTTTTTAGTGTGGTAGACATGAAATGAAGAGTTTTCCTCTACCCCAGGGTTTCCTTACAAACATCATTTCCTCCCTCAATGCGGCTGGTATATGAAGGAAAGAAATAAATATGACCACCACCAATACAAAAGCATGCAATACATAAGCAAAGACACCTACTTATTTCCATGAACACCGTATGTTAGACACTATGCTAAGCTCTCCATGAGTGTCCTTTCCTTTTTTTTTTTTTTTTTGGCTCAACATCCCTGTGAATTATGTCTCCCCACTTTATAAAGAAGGAAGGCCCAGGAAGTTTAAATAAGTAATCCCAAGTCACACTACATTTCACCTGATTCCAAAGTGTTGGCTCCTAAATACTCTTTCTTTCCTTTTTGAAATAGGGATTTCTTTTTAGGACAACCCAATAATAGCACTTCTTTTTCTCCTCACATCAGCTACAAATGGAACTTCAAATCCCACCTCAGACCCAAAAAAGCCCCAGATCTGGGCTGAGAGGAGAACATACTTAATTGTCCACTACTCAGAGAAAAACGCTAACAGTGTCTTTAACGATTTTTATTCTGGTTAAAAAAAAACAAGAGAAAGAAACAGATGAAATGTATTCATACACTAAGACAAAACCTCACCTAAGATGAGATTGCTCATAACATAAATCTCATAGATGATTTTTAAACTCTTCTCAGTTTGGACAGAGCCCCATGTGTTGCTGTTACTGACGAGGGTGGTACTGGGTCCTAAGAAAATTGTACTGACAGTGTAAGTCTAGAAGGGGTCCAAGAAGTCAGCTCATAAACCAATGAGTGTCAATGGCCACAAAGAGCTGGTACCATGTCGCAGGATGTGTGATTGCGAACCTAGTACACTTGAAGTTGACCTTCACTGATTTGGAAGTTAAAGATTTCCAAACCACTGCTGGTTATCAGTCCCTTTTCACTTAATGTCCTTTGTAGAGGGTTGAGTTAATCATAACCTATGAGTTCATAGCACATGAAATCTCCAAGGCCCCTCTCTTGATTTATTTATTTATTCTCTTTTATCTTATTCCCCACTGCAATTTTCATCCCCTAGAGTCAATGTCCCTACTATGGTTTATATTTAGCCTTGGATTTTTAAAATGCATGGATATCTTGGTGCACGTATGTATTTTTTCATGGATATGAGTGATGTTGTAGTATAGGTTTTATTATAGTATATAGAGGTAATACAGATTTTGTAGTTTCTAACTTTTTTCTTTCAACTATGTTCTTAGGATCTTGCTATGCTGGTAACTGTACATCTAGTTCTTTGCTTTTTTACTGGTATATAGTATTCCATAGTGTGTATCCATCCCATTTGATGTCTCCATTCCCCAGTGATGGACACCTAAGCTGTCTCTAACTTCTCACCACCCCCAAATAGTAGTGAGCTAAACATCCTGATCCTTGTCCCCTTATAGACCTGTGTGAAAATTTAACATACTCTTAGAGTAGGAAACTAATGTATGTGTTTCAAAATTTTTGAGAAAATTCCCTTAAATATTTAACTAGGTCTATGCATTTATGCAGAATTTGGAAATGGGGTATGTAGGGAGGTAATTTTCATGGCATTTCCACATTTCCTGGACTTCCTTTACAAAGATTTTGTTTGGGGTTTGTGCAACAACCTTGGTCACATTTCAGATTTGTTTCTTGATCAATATGACAGAGAACATCTCCATCTCCAAAGATACTCCATGATAATGCCTTCTCTCCCCAGACAAAATTTGCTTACATTTCAGGGTAAAGACACTGCCTCTCTTTTGGAGAAAACGGTGGAGAACCTGTGAGAGCCCCTGTACAAGGGGGTCTCACAAGGTCAGAGTTCCCTATGCCCAGTGTTCCTCAGCCATGAAACAGATTCAATGTGTGCTCAGCATCTCCGTGGATTCACTCTCTCCCACCCTGTGAAGTCAGCCGACATTGACTCCTATGGGACTTGGTGGACAGTGAAACTCACGTTGCTTATTGTGCTCTGAGCAATAAACTGTCTAAATCCATTTGAGCTTGGTTTTTCCTTACTGGCCAATTTCATAGAAGTGTGGTGAATCAGCCTAGCTGTTACATTGATGCTGTTACACTGATGTTGAGGAACTGCTTGGCCCACCTGAGGAGGAAGAAATGGATGTGGCATATGTGACCCATCACCCTGTTTTCTTTCTTTCTCTCTCATGGAAATAGAAGCTCTGAATGTAAGTTATTCAGCCCCAAGTCTTCCCAGAATGAAAACTACAGTTCCCAGCGTTTTTTGCAACTAGGTATAACTAAAGGTCTAATATTTGACCAAAGAAATACAAGAAGTCTGTGCAACATCTAAGAAGAGTCCTTAAAGAAAGTACACCCTTGTCTTTCTACAATCTCCTCCTTGCAGGTCAGAATATAGAAACGCTGACTGCAGCTGGAGCAGCCATATTGGATTCTGAGGTAGGTTTAAGAATGGGAGCCATGCTTTTCAGAGCAAAAAGAATCAAGCTAAAAGGAGTCTGGTTTTTGGACACCATAGAGCATCACTCCAGCAGCCTAGGGCTGCTGACTTAGATTTAGGAGAAAAAATTGCTAAAGCCTCTATTATTTTGAAATTTCTGTCACTCACAGCCAAATCTGGTTCTAACAATATAAGAAACATGGGAACAGTATTTAAGATGGGTTTATCTGTCCAAGAACCACACTTTCCTCATCAGAACTTAGAGGACAATGCGCATCTCATTGCAAAAACTTGGGAAATTTCCACCTACAGAGTCAGCTGGGCTGTGAGCTTCTTCAGAGCCTCATTTCTGTTATATTTCTTTTTAGTCTCACTTTTCCTGCACAGACAACCTACAGATCTGAAGACCACTACCAACCAATGCCCACACAAACCAAACACAATTATTCTATGAAGTCATGGTTCGTATCAAAATAAGATTTATAGTGGGCTTTTCCAGGAATTCTTAGCAGAACTTGGACATTTCTTGGGGTCATAATAAAATCAGTTTGTAAATGAAGTGCATTT